TATGCATGTTACAGCAACACCTGTTCCCACCAATGAAGCAGCCAGAATTTTCAAGGAGACCGAGTCTCCTTGTAATACTAAGTGTATGTTGTATCTAGCTTTTCAAGTAGTACAAGGCCATCATGTTCAGACAAGAAAGCAGTACAAAAAAGGGTGATGAAGCCTTTAGGCCTAGGAGTGTTAAGAAAACGTACATGCTCTCTATCAGTTATTGCATGAGGTATCAGGCTTACTAGAATAAAAAAAAGATTTTTTTGGGGGGGTGGGAGGGAAGCGGGGAGAAAAGGCTCCAGCCCGGGTAGTACTTAAGACTGTGCAGGCTGAAGCGTGGGTGTCTCAGCTGTCCAGCGATCCTCAAAACTGGAAAAGAAATTTGTATGTATTGGAGTGCTGAAGATAGAACTTACTGTCTAGTTAGAGGACCAGCTCATTCAGGTACTGGTAGACAAAGATATCCTGGGGATCCGAGTTGTGCAGCAGCCACCACAAGACACTTAGTGAAGACTTGGCATCATGCACACACCAAAAATTGTACTGTCCTTCATCCAGAACTCTCAGGTACTGTGTGCGTGTTGATTTCCACATAAAAGCAAGCATCTCCAGTAAATGAGAACATGCTTCCCCCCCCCTAGATAGCACCATGCAGGGCAGGTGTGCACAATTATTTGGGCCCAAGGGCCACATGGGGAGTTTTGAAGAGCAGTCACAGGCTGAGTCAGGAACGCCATCCCCCTTTCCCCAACAACTCACCAAAACTCCCTATGGGGCTGCAGGCTGGCAGAGAGCAGTATTCAGGAGTGGGCAGGGGCAGGGAGGCTGGGAGCAAGGGTGAAAAATCACAGGGCCAGGAAGCAGAGCAGTGATAGCTCCCTACATAACCCTACCGGGGTGGGGGCAGCATGCCTGGGCATTAGATCCTAGAAGCCTTCAGTGGGTAGGTGGGGGGGAGTCCATGCAGCAGAGCTCATCCGGCAGCTGCTGCTCTGCTCCTTCCCACCCTGCTACCCAACATGCTAGGACAGGAGCTGCCTGGCTGAAGCTGCTTGCCCACCCACCTGGAATGGCATGGTGTGCCATGGCATGGGCAGCTTCCAGATGGCTGTTCCTGGTGCAGCTGCAGCCAGGTACTGCTCTAGTGTCCCCTGCCTCCAGCAGTGGCTCCTGCTTCACATCTTGCCCTGCTGTGGCATTCCTGGTGGGCAAATTGGGACTCCAGCTCTAGGAGCTGGAGCCAGAGCCCCATATGCTAGGGCAGAAGCTATCCAGCTAAAGCTGCTCACCTGGAGCGGTGTGGTGTGGCACAGCAAGAGTAAAAAGCAGGAGCAGAAGCAGCCACTGGAGGCAGGGGGAGAAGAGGGCGTGGCAGAGAACAGCACTCGGCTACAGCAACACTAGGAACAGCCTACCAGAAGCTGCATGCACTAATTGGGGTCAGGTTGTGGGCACTGGCTTAGCCCCAGGCCAAGTGCTGTAGGGACAGCCAGTCACCTGGTGGGCCAAATCCAGGCTGTGGGCCATATCTTGCCTATTTCTGATGTAGGGCAAGCATCCTCAACTTGAGCATTTGTGCAGCTGTTGAGCTTTCTGCTTGGTGCAGGGGGCTGGACCTGATGATCTTCT